AGCTGGGGGAGGGGGTGGCGCTGCCCCACACACCTCACACCCACTTACTTCAGGCTCCCCCCCAGCCAGGCCACTCCTTGCTCGGCGACCTTCCCTTTCACTCTCCTCTCGGGCTGGACTATCATGCTACAGAGGATGAGCGGGATAGGCCCTGTCCCCTTCCGCCGTTTCGGAGCCAGGAGGAAGTAATGGCGAAAAGCTCCGCTAAAAAAAACTAAAACTAAAAAACTTCAGTCAGACCTTCCAACTTCTCATGAAAAAAAAAAAGATCTCGTGAGAAGATGAGTTTCAAAAGGCTAACAATATGATTTTTTTTTAATTATGAAAAAAGCCTTTGGCAATGATGGCTAATTTATTCCATGGCTATATCCATCTTTAAAGAAAGTCTACTGAACAGGAGTAGCCTGTTTTTAAAATTTGTGAAAATGAGGCCTTAAATAAGCAAGTTCTGACAAGTCTGTACTATAGTTGTACATGAAATATATATTCCTCCAATATAAAGTGGAGCCCTCCAACCAATATGACCATTAGTTAGGCATGATGAAACTGTTCAGTATGTCAGATACTTTCCAGGATAGTAAAACCTGCATTATAATAATGTAATAGTATGGATATGAATGCATATGCCATTAAAATGACTCTGTAGTACAAATAGTTCCTAAGTATTTAAAATTATAAGTTTCATGAAAATGTTTAAAATTATTTCTTTAAACCTTGATGGCCAAAACATGCCATCTGGTTCCTGTGAAATAGTAAATATTTGTTGAGAAATGTAATTATACTTAGTGGATGCTTTTAGAAACCCACAATCCATTGACATTAATAAAATGTAGGAAAATGGGATACTGCAAATGTTGAATGACAAAATGAACTTTAAAAGAATAAGCATAATACAAATATTACAGTTTGTCTCCTTTCCCAAAGGCTTCTGTGTTGCATGGACTGAAGTTTCCATGTTTTATTCTTCTCAGTTCACCTTTGAGATATGTTAGAGTGAAAGAGAATTAAATATTTAGTTAGTATAAGCAAAGTGGTGAATATATTTGTATACCAATTTAAATAATTGGAGCGGTGGTATTCCTCATTCAGAAGACAAATCCAGAGGAATCCCCCCCCCCCACTTTAATTAATTTTCATGTAGGCTATACCTGACCTTCTGAATTAACTGAACTGATATATTTTGTGTTTCTTGCGGTTTTGGACTACTCCCCAGTACTCTTCTGCTTACTGTATGACTTTGTTAACCCATTAACAATTTAAAATTACTCAGTCTTTTTTGACTTTGCCAAAAGGCATGAGTTTTCATGAATGGCAAGTCACTTCATCAGATTCATGGAATGGCTAGACTGATGTCAGATTTGAATTGGGGTGAGGGGAGAGAAAGGTTGGTTATTCAAATGTACATTACACATGAGACAGATTATAAATATTTCATCAATTAACAATTGTTAAATTGTGTTAAAAACCCACTTTGTTAAGACCTTTTGAGTTTGCCTAAAACACGTTTAAGTACATGAGTTCATCCATTTCTCCCTTATGGTGTTGTTAAAGTCCCATATATCCAAAAATGATTCTTCAAAGTTTGCCATACAGTGTTTTGAAAGGTTGAAATGCTCTGATATTATTTTGCACAACAATTCCATGATTTGTCCAATGTAGAATTCAGAGGGACATGACTGGCATATGATGGAATATATCAGAGGAAAAGCATGCAAAGGTATTTATCTGTGTACTTATTGGGGCCTATGGGAGCAAAACATCTGGGTTTATTGCAGGATCTGGTTTCCACATTGGCACCATTGTCCTGGTATTTTTTTGTTGCTTGTGAATTGAGTAGTTGTCTATATTCAATATGGGTCTGCCACCTAGTGCCACCCAAGAAAGCGCAATGTCATTTGTACAGTGTGGGGTGTAGCTCAGAGGTCCCCAACCTTTTGGGCACAAGGGACCGGTTTCGTGGAGAGAGGTTTTTCCACGGACCGGAGGGGGCGTGGTTTCATGTACTGTCTGCATCCCGCAGATGGGGCTTTGCTTGTTTGCATGGACCGGTTTCTAGCATGCAACGGACTGGTGCCGGTCCACGGACCAGGGGTTGAGGATCCCTGGTGTAGCTTATAAATAATATTTGAGTGGCTTGAGCTGTAAGCTGTAGGTGACAATGAGTGGTGTTTTCTGTGCTCTGTCTTTTAATAGGTCATCTCTGAAATTGATCTAGCTCTATTGATTTGTCTACTGAGCTCATTGAGTGGGTTCACTGTTATGAATGCCTCTTTTGATTCTGTCAATCAAACATCTGTGTCAACAAATTTGGTTGTAGTATAGAGCTTGGCTATAGATGAGAAATTTGTTAGTGTGTTCTGGTTGTATGCTAAACAGCTCTCTTCCTACAAGGTCTATTCTAACTTCAAAGTCCACGCTTAAAACCTTTCAAATATAAGCAGTGTAGATTAAGAATTAAATATCTGGCTGTAATTTCTGACAATTGAATACTTTAACTGAGAAAATTTAGCTGCTTCATCCTTGTACAAGTCTTAAATAACAATATCAGAAGAACCAAATCTTATTTGATAGTTGGGCTTGTAGTCATAACTTTATACTTATACAGTACAATGCATTCCTTAAATTTCTAGTTCTGATTCTGATTCAAATTCAGAAATTTGATCAGAAATGATCAAATTTCTGACAATTATAGAAGTTTCTGATAGTGTAATCACACAGTAAATATTTCTTTAATATTATATGGATTATTTTCTTTAATTTTAGTTTCATTATCATGCTTAAATCTCTGTATTTCCTGATTCTGTTAAAATACAGTGTTGTATTATTAATATTCTTGCTTATATTTTGATAATATAAAAACTGATATTTTCTTCAATTTTGGCTATAGAAATGTCTATCTTGCCACATGAACTCTTGGTATATATGTATGTCTGTTAAGTCCTTTAATTTTGGGTAGCAAGAGCAAATTGTCCTCGACTTACAATCATTCATTTAGTGACCATTCGAAGCTACATTGGCATTGAAAAAAGTGACTTATGACCGTTTTTCACACTCACAACTATTGCAGCATCCCCAAAATCACTTGATCAAAATTTGGACGCTTGATAACTGGCATGTATTTATGAACAGTTGCAGTGTGCTGGAGTCATGTGATCATTCTTACAAGCAAAGTGAATGGGGAAACCAGATTCACTTAACATCGCTGTTACTAACTTGACAACTGCAGTGATTCACGTAACAACTATGGCCAGAAAGGTCGGAAAAATTCACTTAACAAGTGTCTTTCAACAGAAAATTTTGGCTCAGTTCTGATTATTGGTTGAAATGACCTGTAATACACTTCTTACACAGCAACTTTTATGTTTTAATTCCTCCTTTCCATTCAAGCCCGAATTTAGTTTCTGCATTGTGTACACTAGAGTTTTTGGCATTCCTTTGTTATGATTTATCTAAGCTTGTTACTAACCTATCTATAGACTCTCCTGATTTAATAAGAGTATTGTTGAGATACTGTGTTAAATTTACTTTAGTTTATGTCGGCCTTGGGATTATTTTTAATTTATTTTTTTCTTGACAAGGTCCCATGAGTTCCTGACAGAATGGCTAATAGCTAGGGATTATGAAATAAATAATTGGAAGCATGAAGACCACCACAGTTTGATAATACCTGTTCAGGAATATTCATTTTTATCCAATAAAGCATAGTTATTTTGTTAGTAATTAAGAAAGAGATTGCATAAAAATTTGTGAAACCATAACTGAAATTACTTGTCCAAGAAATGCATACTGGGAACAGATAATCCTTTAAATCAAATTTCTTGCTTGGCAATCTCAGTAGCACTGCATTGTTATGGTGATTTATATTGTATCTATGACTAATAGAAGGAAGTTAGTTGATATTGCATCATATTACAGCAACTCAAGTGTTAGATTTTCAACTTCAGATAATGATATTCTAACTCAGAGGTGTCAAACTCGCCAGGTGACGTGTCGCGATGTATTGTGACTTTTTCCCCCTTGCCGGAGCTGGGGTGGGCGCAGCTTCTGCGTGGCATATCCGGCCCACGGACCAGCAGTTTGACACCCCTGTTCTAATTAAACTATGGCTGAAAGTACTAGTGCTGACTATAGTTAATTTTATTTATAAAAGCATATTTTATATCTCCATTTTAAATTAGTTATATCTGGGTGTAAGAAAACCAGAAATAATTATTTCAGAAATAATTACACTTCTAATGATATTTAACATAATTGAATTGTTTAGCTTAATATCATTCAGTCTTTCCTCAACTCCCAAAAGAGGAATGGGATTACAACCTCAGCCAGCATTACTTAGTTTTTGATTTCTACTGAAATATATTTTCTCAGTCTGGCCTTGCATGTATTAGGGACTGCCCTGCTCCTTGGAGAAGATTGTATGACATTGCTCTTATCTGTTATTTTTATGAAAACATTCTCCCTAATAGAGTATTACTACCTCTTTCCTATTACTTATATCTACCTTAGCTTTTAAGATGTATATTGTGATAGTAATTCAACTTATAGATAACACATAGAAGAAATTATATTTTTTCTACCTAGGAAATGGGACCATCCTTGAAACTGCAATGTGCAATCTTATTTTCGTAGTTCATTAGATGAGTAGTGTTTAGTTCTTCTGATTCTTTATATATGAATGTAGAGACTTTTTTCCCCCAAAAAAGTATGGCATATTTTATCTATGTATGTGCTTGGCAGGTAAATTAGAAAGGCTTTTTGTATTGTCTATGTCTGAAAAAAGGGAATCCTTTAACAATAGTTGTACAAAGTTTTATCTGATTGCTCTATCTAAGCCTCTCTTTTTCATATTGTATGTTACTAAACTGTTCCATTTCTTTTGCAAAAACATTCCATAACTCATTTCATTCTTATATTTTTTCTTCCTTTAGCTTTATTTATCATTGCCTGTACAATAACTGCTTTTCTAACTTTTCCATTTTCTCCCATTTGTTTTCACACAGTGTTGTTACAGATCTTATAGCAGTCGGTTTAAAGGTAGGAATCTTTTTCTGTCCTTTCATATAAACTTGTTATCCACATTTTTATTATTTCTGGATAACACATTGAAACTTGTGCATCATATAATTTTTTTTTCTTGTGGCATTGCTTTATTTCCATCCAATTTCTTTCTTCATGAAATGGATCTTAGCTCTTTAATTCTTAAAAGAGTTCATAATTTATGTTCCTTCCAATTCAGCTAAGGATATTAATAACTTAGAATGCATATGTACATTTAACCCCATTCCTGTGCTGGAATGCTGTTCAAAGGTAAGTCATAAAAAGCTGCAACCCATTTTTAAACTCTGCTGAATAAAGCAATCCAAAGCATTAAAAAAGGCACATATGGAGCACATTAGCCAGAATCTTACTTTTCAAAGTACTAAAGTAGCCAAGACTTTTACAAGGTTCTCTAGCTGTCTTCACATGTGTTCATGTGCACAACCCCTTCACTTTTTTGGTAGTCCCAGTTGAAGTGTTTCTGGGCATGCATACAAAGGTAATGAGAGGACAGTGTTCAGATTACATGTGTGAGCTTTGCAAAGGTTTATTTGTTAAATTTATTTGCTGCCCACAGGGCTTTTTTTTGTCATAGAACGCCCAGAACGGAGTTCCAGCACCTTTTTTGGATGGAACCTTGTAGGGTAGGCAAGATAGGTTGTATGTATGACGTGTGTGAGTTCCAGCACCTTTTTTTTTTTTTTTTTTACAAAAAAAGCACTGGCTGCCCATCTCTTATCAAAATAATTCTGGGTGGCTTACAGTATTAAAACATTAAAATCCTAAAAGATAAATGTTTTTAAAGAAATAAAAATGGAAGTCACCATAGAAATCAAATGTTTTAAAACATTAAAATTAATGTTTAACATTTCAAAAATGGATGATTTCTTTGTGGCATCACTTTTTGTGAAGCATTGTTTTCAAATGTTTTGTAGATCCACATGATGAATATTTCTCCAACTACTCTAGTTGGAAATTCTAGAATAGCATTGAAATACTTAAGCACCATATACTGTGAAAATTCTATTGTGAGCTTTAATTTTGAACTACACAAAAATTATTTGCATCCTAATCTTTGCTAAATGTTATGAAACAGGAATAGGCAACTGGTAGCTTCCAGATATTCAGTTTTTTAAAAATTATTTATTTATTATTATTTACTTACTTATTTACATGTTCGGTGGATTACCCTGCCCTTCTAATAAAAAAAATGAAAAAATGAAGCTCCATGTAGCTAACAATAAAAATACAACACAAATTAAAAGCATCATTATGAGCTTCATTAATCAAATGAACAATAAAATACCATTATTTAAATCAGCATAGCCAATGCAAATGGATGGTGTGTATGTATGGCTGCATCCCCTTATCTATCCTATGTTTTCAGGAAAATTTCTATACATAATTTACTGGAGCATTTCAGTTAAATAACTCTAATATATGAACATGAACACACACATATACACTTAGAAGTTTCGTTGAACTAACTGAGGGAGATGGGTGGTTAAGAAATATAAAATATAAATACAAAACTGAGGCATATCCTCAGATACAATAGATTTGTGGCCTTAAAAACAAACGTGTGTTATGACTAATATAAAAGCAAAGACCAAATGCATGCTAAATTTTGTTTAAGCTATTTTAAGAAGGTGAAGCAATTTATAAACTTGAAGCTTTGGAAAATGAAGTATGTTACTGTCAAAAGCATTCTTAAGAGATGAATGAAAAGAAATTATGCATTCTAAAGAAATAATGTTTTTTATTAGGAGTTTATAGCAATTTTCTTTGCAGATAATGTTTCGTACATAAACAAATATAATTTGTTATATCATTGATTTAATTTAATAGAACATAGGATTTAAAAACAAAACCAAATTCTGATAATGTACTATAGTTTGAAGTCAAAAAGCCATTGCATCATGAGCCATAGAGAGTTGATTAGACTTATTGTACTGAAATACAAATATTATAGTACTGCTAATGAGTAATATGATTTCATATATTTGTGTTGCAATTATAGCTTTACAGAAAATGACATTTACACACAAATGAAAGCACAAATATTTAGGTGGTATAGGGATATTTTTGTTTTTAGATAGATATTCAAATTAAGGCTGCATGCACAATTGTGTCATCAGATCCTTGTTAAATATTAGCAACCACATAAATAGTCCTTCTTTAGGATGTATATACCATTATGGCACCCTTTGAATGCTGAAATTACCTTAATTCTAGGGGTTTATACAGTATACGCTGTCAACAAAGGGTTTGGTTGAATGTGTATGTCTCTGGACCACAGACATAGGGCAGTGTCATTGACAGCCATAGAGATAAAACCCTCTATTTACTTTTATTTTTCCCTTGTTGTATATTCACACCAGGAAGTTAACAGTGTATTATAGCAGAGATGAATTATTTAGGTTCTTTAGGTTGAATGGATCTTTACATTAAATGGTTTTAAGTTACAAGATGCTGAACGAAGAGTGGATATGATTGGTCATCAAAGTTCCGGCAGATACAATGCTCTTGCAGTCACATGTTCATGATTTGCAAACTTCCCTGCTGGTTTCCCACAAGTAAAGTCAACAGGGAAGCTGGCAGGAAGTTAGAAGTCATAAACACTTAAATTCCTTGCTTAATGACCCGGTACTCACTTAACAATGGTAACTGGGGATTGCTGGAATTGCCATCACTAAGCAGTGCAGTCACCTGATGTCACGCTTTATAGCTGCATCACTTAACGATGGAAATTCCAGTTCCTATTAACCAACTACTATATCCATTTGGATTTGGGGGGAAGAAGTAATATTACAAGCAGCAGACATTTGAGTTTTCTAGCATATCAGTAAGAGGAAAAATGTGGTGAAGCCACCAGTTGAAGGGGAGGGACCCCCGCCGGGGAGAGTAAAGAGACATTCCAGCTTAGAGTCTATTGGGTGAGAAAATGACTATAGGTCTATATTTGCTCTTTCTCAGGTGAAGGCAGACAATCTGGTGCGATTCTTGTAATACAGGTGATCAAGAATTAAGTATCTGTTTGGACCTATCTGGTTGCTTGTATCTGACAAAAAGCTGTAGATCTGAGAGAATAGTTCTGAAGCCTTATGAGAACCTTCTACATCCAGAAATGAAAACGGCTTGGATTGTTGCTGAAAGGTAGAATAACATAATTCCAAAATAGGAAGCATATATTTAGACACAGTTTTCTAAATATGCCTGAGTTTAATTTTAAAAAAAGTGTGCCATGGTTTCGAGTGATCAACTTTTTGTATGAAGAGAAGTCCAGCTGTTTCTTTATTTTTGGTAGCAATATATTACTGAAATATTAAAATAGTCCTTTGTCTTTTCAAAAATGGGAGAGAGACAAGTAGTACCATTTCCAGTCCTCTTGTGGCTTGTAGAAGTTGTCATCTGTGTCTGAGAAATGTATCTTTCTACTATGTCTGTTGATTATGATCTGGACGCCACCCATTCTTTACAGTTAACAGCGGAGATATGTAACTGCAAGCTCTGTTGATCCTCTCACTATTATTGCTAAAAATTGGTAGCAGAGGAAATACATAAAAACTTGTGGTAGCTTACCATGTTTGCTAAACAGGGCAATCATTAAGCGAGGACTTTTTGTAGTGTGCAGATAGTCATCGACCTACAACCATGCATCAGCAACCATTCCAAGTTACAACAGGCTGAATGGTGGTTACAAACAGACCTCAAGAGTTCCAGCCGTCCCAGCACTCCTATGTTCATGTAATTGTGATCGGGTGTTTGACAACTCTTTCACACTTAGAAATTGGTTGCCAAGCACCCAGTAAATCATGTGATTGCCATTTGTCACCTTCCCTGCTGAGTTCTTTAAGGTAAGTCTCCCCACACTTGCACATCATCCCCAGACTCCTATGCTTGCACCATGATGGTTACTTAGCCCCACACACCCTCCCTGACCTGCACAGTGCCTCTTTCGCACACCCTTAGGCATGCATCGTCGTGCCTCTTACACACCCTTCCCAACTCTTCCTCATCCACACAGTACCTCACTCACACTGTCGTTACTCCTGCACCCGCCTTGCAGTCTTTTCTTAGCCCTCCCTGATTCGTGCAGTGCCTCTCGTGCATCCCCCACCACCACCGCACCCTCAAACACACACCCCTCCAATCTTCCCTAGCACATCATCTCCACACCTCTTGCGCACCATCTGCTCTCACTCTCCCTTATTCGCCTACCTGCCAGCAGTCGTTTACCTGCCGGTGGGCCTTGAATGTGCAAATTCCCAGCCAGTTTCCCCAGTGACTTCTCAGTTGTGAGTACCTGGCAGGAAGTTGTCTTGCCTAATGATCCTGGGATTCAGTTAATGATGGCAACCAAGACTGCAGGGATTGCTGTTGCTAAGCGACGTGGTCGTGCTTTACAACCACATTGGCTATTGATGAAAATTTCTGTCTCCTGTCCCAATTGTTGTCGTAAGTTGAAGAACACCTGTATTTAAAACAAACAAGAAAACTTTTCAAAGTCTGCCTTCCATGTACATAGTCTTACTTATCCAAGTTCTACCGCTTTGAAATTACATAATGCTATATAATATCAGATCTTTCATTGGGTCAAGAGGCAAAAGGGCTAAGTGGCAGATTGTCACACACCATCTCCCCCACATTCAAGGTTCATCTATTGAGAGCAAGAGTTTCTTTTCCCCTCAAGCAAAAGTAATCAAGACCTGGAAAAGAAGGATATATCAGAAATCAAGAATGTTTCCTTTTGCCAATATTCACATACACGCACATACTATTAATCCATTTATACATACAATTCCTTTCTTTCTTTTCATATATATGGTTTCTAAGTATTCTGAACAGTATAAGTGACAGACTTCAGGGACAGAAAATATTGTCTGTTGTAAAACATTTTAGCATTGGGGGGGAAAAAAGGGACCCATTCTGTAAGAAAGTTTGCAGAGTTTGATGGAAAGTTATTGAAATGGATAATTCCATATCCCTGCTTTAAG